TTGGAGACCCTGGGCTCAAGTGCAACGGCCGTCCTGCGTGTCTACTACTACTAGTATTACCACTACGACTGCTAGTACTACCAGTATTATCAATAGTATTGTTACTACCGCTATCACTACTACTATTACCACTAACATTGTTAGTACTGCTATCACTGCTAGTACTACTACTACTAGGACTGCAACTACTAATATTACTATCACTGCCACTACTATTACTGCTGCTAGAACCAATACTCTTACTACGCATAATACTGCTATTACTACTAATAGTACTGTCGCTACTACTATTGCTAATGCCGTTACTATTACTTCTACTACTACTAATAATAATACTAAGACTACTGTGACTACAAACTAATTCACACACAAGTCGCCGCCCACGACGCTCGGGCCCTCACATACAACACTAAAGCGGAAATAAACAAACAGCAGATGCACACACCGCGTGGATAGATGGGCGGGGTACCAATCACACATCGAACACAAACGACCATGAGCTAAAAGCGATCGCGGTAAAAAAAGTAGAGGTGTGTTTAATGGCAGACTACAGGCAGACTGCTGTAAAATAACGCTGGCCGGGGAGAGGATGTGGATTTGTAAAGATACGTACGCAATTAGATCACCCTCTTTGTACGGACAGGGATTAAGGGGCTGCACTACTATTTATGTCGCTAGAACCAATACTATTACTGCCACTACTACTACTGCTGCTATCAGTATTACTTCTACTACTACAAATAACAATAATACCAAGTCTGCTGTCGCTATAAACTAATTCACTCACAAGCCACTGTCAGTGACATTGAAGCCCACACGCAGGACGATAAAGTGTAAATAGACAAAAAACCCCCCGCATACACACATCGCATGGACAGGCGGGGCGAGGGGACCACCACTCAGACATGGAACGCATGCCGCGAACGGTAAAAGTGAATACGGAGGCAAATGCGGATGAGCTTAGTCACCAGCTACAACCAAATAGCTGTAAAAGAACGCTGGACACAAGGGGAAAGGATCTGTATTTGTGAAGAAATGCACACAAATAAATCACCGTTTTTTGTACAAACAGGGATCGAGTTGAAGGTCGGGCAGGGAGGAGACCGGAGAACAGGAAAGGTCCTTGAATTTAACAAGTCGAGCACGCACAAAGTAGGTATCCTTTGTGATCTCGAAGGCAGCAATCTTAAATCCAAAGGATTTTAGCCTCTTCAGAAAGTCCTTGACGGGACAGGCGAAACGACTGGCCACCTCAACCAGTAAGAGCAGGCCACTGCAAAATAACGTATTAGACAGATATGAACGGGCGTTACTTCATCTTCAGGATACGATTGGCTTCATAGATAAAGTCGCGACAATTGGTGCCCATCAGGGCCAGACAGAAGACGGCGACATCCACCGAGCCCCTCGGAAGGGGGGTCTAGCAAAGAAATGGTAAAAATAGGGAAACAATGAAAGACCCAAACAAAACACACACAAATAAAGCTGAACAACGAGGGCATTTGTTTACAAGATATGTTACAACAGTAGGGACTGCAATTACATCGGAGAAGCCGGGCGAAAACTGCAGACTTGCCTACACGTACACAAAACGGCGGTTCGGAGACTAAACCCCCAACTCGCAACGCATATCGGAAAGGCCGGCCACAACTTCGAGATTCAAGGTGCGGTCACCGTAGGC